ATATATCTACATCAAGCTAAGACCTTCCACCAAGGAAGGGCTCATTTGTAATCGACTGCAATACTAGTGGATTCATTCAAACTGGGCTAGGCGCCGTGGTTTTTCCCCCTTTTCAGGGGTTTTCCACGTAAAAATCTTGGTGTCTCATAAATGCTAAACCCTTTCTCTTATCTGATTGCGTGCCGGATTTTCGTACAACACTAAGACGATAAACTTTATATTTTTCTACCGTCGTGAATACTCCTGGACGCAACATTTATGTTTTTAAATGCGATATATGTATTAATTAAATTTTTTAGGATTTAATGTTTATCATGGATGATAATATAAATTAATATGTTGTTCTTAGCAGAAATTTTGGCTTATCAAGTGAAGAGTAAGGCTTCGTTTGGGACGGCTTTTCCTCTTGCTTTCTAAAATAGCTTTTTAGTATAAAAATTTCTTAAATTTGATTTTTTTTTTATAATAGAAAGCAGTACGAAAGCTATACCAAACAAAGCCTAAGTCTTCCTTTGGAATAACTTTTCTTGCTATTCTTTAAAACAACTTTTTAGTGCAAAAATTTATAGCTAAAAAAACTTTTAAATTTAAAAACTATTTTAAAAAGCAGTCAGAAAATTGTCCAAAATTAAACCTAATTAAGTTAACAAAATGTCAATTAAGATAAGTGTTTTAAAAAATTATTAATGTTCATCATTATCATATATTTTTCATTATTATTTTCATAGTTCTCTAACTAATTTATAATTGCTTTCTTTATAAGTTTATTGACATTATCAGGACCAAAATTGCAATCTCCAATTCTCCCAAGTAACAAAGCTGATATCTAAGGACTTTAATAGACCATAAAAATAATCATAGGGAGACAAGCATAGATAACTTATTGTCTAATAAATTCAGTGCTCTCTCTCTCTCTCTCTCTCTCTCTCTCTCTCTCTCTCTCTCTCTCTCTCTCCATGTGCACACACATGTGATTCTATTTTATTATGTGATTCTACTAAGACCTCGCTTGAGACAGTTTTCTTATTACTTTCTAAAACAATTTTCTAGTACAAAATTTTTTTTTAACTAAAAATTTATGTATTAAAAAACTGCTTTAAGCAACATTACGAAAGCCGCCCAAAACAAAGCCTAAATCTAGGAAAAAATAAATGTTATTCATCTTAGGCTTTGTTTGGGATAGCTTTCTTACTATTTTTTAAAGTAGCTTTCTATTAACAAAAATTTTTTGAACTAAAAAATTGCTTTAGAAAGCAATAAGAAAGCTGTCTCAAATGAATCATTAACTCTAAATGAGATTAAGACCTCTTGACTTGACCTTGCCTCAAACAAGGTTAAATAAGGACTGCTCCAAATCAATGTCAATAAGGCTTCCTTTGGGATGACTTTCTTATGACTTTTATAGCAGCTTTTTAGTACAAATTTTTTGTACGATAAAGCTGATTTAAGAAGCAATAAAAAAATTTTCACAAACGAAACCTAGATCAGCATTGAATAGAACAAGCCTAAAACAAATCGAAAAGAGAGATGAACATCTTAGCTTAGATATGACCTCCTTACTAATTATTACACCACTTGTGCTGAACTAGATATTATCAAACTATAAACAAGTAATAACTAGAAGCTTCTAGAAAATAACAAGCTTGAGAAAGAATAGACAAAACAACAATTCAATCTGTTGAGCAAAGAAGGACAGAAACTTTCCATACAGGCCCCAGAAATAAACTATATAACCCAAATGTACTATATTTCTATATGAAAGCAGCAAGAAGACCAAATGGAACTGCACAGTTAAACAATCAATCCATCTATGTATGACCATCAAGCAAAGAGAAATCTTAGTTTTGAAAAGGGATCAATCTATTCAAGCTACAAAAAGCTTCCAAGGTTTTGACTTCTAGAAATAAGATGGAAGATGCCTATCTTGCAATTCAGGAACTACTCTAGAAATTGGATTAAGAGTCGGCTTATTTCTCCCTGTAACCACAAAATCAGAAGCATTTGAACTAACCGGATCGAATCGATCTTTCGATGATTCTTGATGATTGGAGATAGATTGGAAAAATAGGTGCTGTGAGTTCTTTCTACTGGTAGAATCTGATGGTGTTGAACTCTTCAATAAATTTTGCTCCTCACCCCTATTGAAGATAGCAGGTGAAGTATTTTCGGCGAAATTAGAATGGCTACTACTAGTTGCTTTGGTATTGGAGAAGCATCTAGCAGAGAAAGAATTGTGTGGTTGGTGGCTTTCAGGAGCAATTCCTGCAGCTGGAAAACAGAGTAAATTATTGCTTGTTAGAACAAGAATAGTGATAAAGGCTCAATTAGCAATTGTTCTGTAATGATAGGAAAGTTGACATGATGGTTTGACTAAGACCTATAAAATTTAAGACAAAAAGGGAAAAATAAGATTTTGTTTGGGATAGCTGTTTTAGTGCTTCTTAAAGCAACTTATAAGTTTAAAAATTAAATTTACACAACTCACCTTAGCTTGTTGGTTGAGAGCTTAGGCTTCCAACTAAGAGGTCTTGGGTTCGAGTCTTTGTGTATGCGTTGTGTGTGTGAGTTTGCCTTAAATGGCCTAAATGTCCCAAAAAAAAAAATTTTTTTTTTTAAACTACTTTAAGAAGCAGCAAAAAGGTGTCCCAAACGAAGCCTAAGCCTTGAAATGAAACTAGGACCATATAAACTATCAAATATAGGAGAGTTACCAGGCGACCCATCACAAAAATCCGAATAAAATCCAACGTGGAAAATGCAATTCTGGTAAACCCAAGTAAAATTCAGGTCAGACTAGAGTTGTATGGATTTCAATTTTTTGTCGGCCTAAAAACAATAGTTGTTTTATTTTGATCCTTTCATTTAAAAAATACACATGATAAATAATATTTATATTTTATTTTATCAAGTTCTCATATTCAAATCGGAGAATCATGTTCATTTTAGGTCTGATGTTAACCCATCACAACTTAAATATGTTTAGTATTATCATGTCAGATAAACTAGTCTGATTTGGGTTAACCTATTCGTATCGAGTCATGTTCATGTTGGACTCAAACTCGACTCATAAAGGCTTCGTTTGTGATGTCTTTCTTATTATTTCTCAAAGCAACTTTTTAGTATAAAGATTTTTCTTTTTGTACTAAAAAAATGCTTTAAGAAATGAACAAAAAAGCTGTCCCAAACGAAGCCTTGAATTGACCCCTCTACCAAAATCATGCAAGGACACTTCTGCTTAAAAGTTTTAGAAAGATGCTGAATAAATACGCTAAAATAAAATTCTTACAACACAAAAAATAATGGAAATCTCTTAGTAGAATATTTCAAAATGTACAATGCTTCACCTGGATTAGTTTTTCTAGGAGGGAAACCAGGAGGGGTTGAAAGAGTAGTTCTCAAGATAGAATTTGAATATGGATGTTGAGAGATAGGTCGAGATAAAGAACCTGCAAAGTTATCAATCAATTAAATAGACCATGCACGTTTATACCACAAGTAAAATAAGAAATGGAGTTCAAAATCAAGAAAAACTAACCAAACATTAATGACATATGATATTGTAAATAATATAATAGCATAAGCTTTAGGGCACACCTTTTGTTATCATCATATAGGATACCCTAAACTATAAAGAGAAAATGGAGAAGAAGATCCTTGTGATTAGAAACAAAAAAGAAGAATAAATCTGCCTAAGGAGATGCTAAAAGATAAAATTTCTTTATTCCATATATGATAAATCACCCTAACTATAACATTTGTCCTACAATATATAATCTCATATCAAATAACAAAATGACAAATAAAGCCAATGGCATAAATATGATACATGTTATAATAAAATAAATGGTTTGCACAATTTCAAAGACCTATGACTAAAAACTAAAGTAGATGAATTGCAATATAACAATTCCCCTGAATACAAAGAACTCCTACTCCAATGAGTTGAATGCTGCCAAAAGAAAAATTGGATCCTCGAATATACTATAGAACTAGTAAAATCCATTTAGTAAAAAGTCCATGCTAAAGAATAAGTGCTGAATGGGTAAATGTTTAAAGAAAGACAAGCAAAAGGGAAAAAAACAATACAATAGTCAACAAAATTGATTGAACGCACTGGCATAATCCTCAAGAACACTATCATCATTTATGAAAAGAAATCTTCAGAATTCTAGAAGCCTTCATACACAATGATAGATTCATCTAAATTTTGCAGAAGTGATTGAAATAAGTTATATATATATATAGGATTGTAGGCCTAAACAATCATGTTAATTGATTTGAATGGCTTGAACATGAATTCAGGAAAGAGGTAAAATTAACTTTTGCAAGAAGTTGATCAGGTTCGATTAAGTCAAGGTAGTTGGAAAACAAATTATGGAGAAAAAAGTGGAATAAGATTACATAAAAGCTTGAGTTCAAAATTTAAATCCTAATTTTAAAAATTCAAATTTTGATTTGAAATCCAAGAGAAGGAAAAGTTAGAGATTTTGGCAGAGGAATTATGAGGATATTATGGAGGGCGTTTTGAGATATATTGTGGAGGATATGAATAGAATCATTGCTTCAAAAAAAAGAAAAAGAATGAAATCTTTAAGACAAATTTATAAATCCAATTTAAACTTGAATTAAATTTTGAGTTTTTTTAACTTTTTTTGTTGGCATTTCCTCAACCTTTTTTTATTTCTTTTCAATATTGATTTCAAAAACTTAAAATTTTCACATTTTCTCACCTATTAGTGTTTATTTGGTTGCATGTTTTCAGAATAAATGCATTTTGAAAATGCAAAGTAAATACAATATATCATAATTGCGTAGTTGTTTGGCTATGTAAATCAAATATAGGAAAACTATTTTTTCAATTTTGTTGAGAGTAAAGTTCAAAATTTCTTACTCCATCAAAATGCAATGATAAGCTCATCTTCTCATTACTAAAAATAACATAAAACCTGTAAGATAAAAAAAAAGGTTTATTAAAAATACATAAAATCCCTTAATGTGTTGGAGTTTACAATGCGGTTAATTTTTAAAGAGGAAGATAGTCCATAAAAATTCAAAAAACAGAGCTGAAATTGTATGGTGTCAGAGTAAAAAAGATTTAGGGGAAGAGAAGCTGTTGTCATTTTCTACACAAACCACAAAATAAAAAATAAACATCAATTTCATCCTGGAATACTATGTCGATTCAAGAACTTTAATTTTGATAGCGATTGTTGACAAAAAAAGGGATCTAGAGCAAAGATTGTAGAGCCTTTTGACATAGATTGTAGAGCCTTTTGACATCTTGTTTATGAAAAAGGAATAATTTGGTTTAAGGAAACAACCACTGAGGTAACTAGATGAAGAGATGTATGAATGACTCAAGACGAAGACCAGTGGTCATTAGAGAAAAGAAATAACCGCATAAGATGACAAAGAAATGCATTTATTCCATCATCAACCATCCTAATTACAACACTTGGACTCTTATACATCATAGATCCATTATCTCATTGAAAATCTAATCAAATCACAAATAACAAAATAATAAAACATATATGATTGCATAAAATTGACACACTAAATAATATTGATCAAACTAACAAGCATAATGACTAAGAATTGAAGTGACTCTTGTCACACTAATACATATAAGTTGTGGCATTAACAGTAAAGAGAACATAATAAAAGCTCAAGTTAACAACGATATATGGAATTTGAAGGTGACTCAAATTCAACAAAAAAAAAAAAAAACCATAAGCACACGGTAAACATCAACTTTTAGATGCATTAAGGCAAACATAAACAACTACACAAAATATTCAAGGATCAAATAACAAAAATGAGCTTGATAGTAGAATTATCATCATTAACTTTTCCCAACAGCCATAAGTCAGCTTTATGAATTTTCATTCCCCATTCATTCATACTAGTTTGCTTGAGATGTAAATGTATTTTACACATATCTTTTTAGCAAATAATCTTCTCCATCTTATTCATTGTTTACCCATTTTCCTTCATAATCTTTTCATGAAAAAAGAAATCTACACATTTTATTATTGTAGCATCCACCCTCTATTGTACATATAATCTAATTATAGAAGTCTATATTCAACTATCATCCTTACAATAAGCAATAGACAAATAATCTCTTTCATATAATGATTTATTTATTCATTTATTTTAGCTTTCTTATAGTTCCATGTTAACATTCTTATTTCTATCACATGCAAGTTTCAATTTATTCGATAATATATTGATTCCTGATTGACTAATGCTTTTAAGGAGGGTTTACAACATTTACCATCCTATGTGAAAAGCACTTTCTGATATCCACACCTTTCCCTAAGTCATTTGGCACAAGACCCAAGAAAAAATCATGTCCACTAGATGGTGCACCCTAAGTACACCGATAACAACATCAAGCCTTTATCCCATTACGCAGGATAGACTACATATGTCACGACCTGATCCGATAAACTTGTGGGAACGAGGCGGGAACGGATGTCGGACAGAAAATTTAAAACATGACTTCAATAACATCATATAACATGAAACATTTGATCAAGCAAACTTCCAAATTTTCAAAACTTTTCATATATATACATATCAAAAGAGATTTACAAAGGTGGTTTGTAAAGTCAACATGTAAAATTCACCAAAAAAAATGTTTAACATCAAAATAAAACAACAAAGAACCTGTCACCCAGCATTTCCCTACAACTGTATGTGAACCACTATCTCTCAGCCATCAATTTCTAGCGGTTTCTCCTAAAAAGTATCTCAAAATCAGGGAAAGAGCTAACGCTCAGCAGGTAACAATTAATTCTACCAAATTCAAATACAATGAAAATAGATCAATATGCATGTTTGATGTGAACTAAAACCTTGAAATTTGAGAACTAGTCAATACAATAACATGCTTAAATAGACATGTACCTATCTATATGACTTTTTATGTAATAAATGATCTTAGATGAAATAGATTTCTGAGTGTTATATGCTTCTAATATATATATATATATATATATATATATATATATATATATATATACATCCATACCAAAGTACCCAAGTTATAATACTGATTATGTACAAATTCATATTGGCCATACATCTTGTTTTTTACCATTTTGCCCCGAAGAGCCATCTTGCCCCAAAGAGCCATATTGTGCTAATGCAACGTATTGGTACTTCGCCTCAGCATGCACAAATTCGCATACCATTTCAATATCATATTATATGTGATTGACATATCAAACATTCATATGTTTCAATCCAACAAATGCATTTTACTTCACCATCATATGTAAGACTTTATGAATAGCTTTCTAAACATGTAAACATATGTAAGACTTTATGAAGAGCTTTCTAAAGTAAACATATGTAAAACTTTATGAAGAGCTTCCTAATTTCCCTATACAAGTCGATTATATAAATGTCTTATCAATCCAACATAAACATGAGTAAAACTCTATCCAACATATGAATATTTTATAAATACATTTAACATTTTAAAAGAGCATAAAGAAAATGAACTTGGAGAGTTAATTGTCACTTACCTCGATAAGCAACCGTTTATACTTGTGACGAATCTTCTTAGACCAACACCTCTCCTATAACTAACACCAAGGATAATCAACGCCTTGATTATTACTAACTCATAATAGAATGCATTTCCAATTAATCAAATGCTAATGTTCTAAAGTCCAAATCTTGGTATAAACCCATGATTATTTTTACTCTTTACCATTACCCCAAAATAATTTAATTTAGCTTCAAATTTCGGTTTTGTCCTACAACCCTAATTTTTAAAACATCAATTTTATTATTTTCATTATCTTGTCATCCCAAAACCTCCCCATGACCTTGTTGATAATTAGGGCATGAAATATTTTTGGATTTTCTCTTAGGCTTTTTTCCTTCAATTTCCCTAAGAAATCCCGTTGGAAACCGCCGTCACCGTTTCCCTTGCACCCGCCGCCTTTCTCCCTTCGTTTCAACCGAACCAATAAGAGAGACCGAAAATATTAGATCCCTTGGCTTATGAGGACGGTGGGGAAGGGGTGTCCAAAATGACACATGTGCCCCTTGCTCCCTACAACAACAACAACAACATCAAGCCTTTATCCCACTACGTGGGGTCGGCTACATGAATCCTTTTTCTCCATGTGCCCCTTGCTCCCTAATTAATCTAAAAGTTACGAGGGGCTATTTAATCATTTGGATTTTATTTTTATTTAAATTACTTTCGTTGATTTTTAATTTCAAAACCGTGCAAAATTTAGTATAAGTTCTTTATACCAATTTGATCAAAATTTGCGTAAAATTTTATAAAATTAATTGCGTTGAATTCTGACAACTTTGAAAATTCACCTAAATTTGTCATGGAGCATCGAAATGCGTGTGACGCTTACGATCAACATTTTTCGAGTTTTACAACATGAATCTTTTTTTCTCATTTAAATCT